TGGGGCAGACTGCTAGACCCCACCCCCGTCAGTTGACTTGCCACCTTGTACTCTGAGTATGGCTGGGTTGTGGCAACAGGCACTTGCATGCCAGCGCTCTCCATAGCTGGCATCAGCAGAATTGTGGCAGACAGTGTGAAACTTAAGGAACTTCGGAAGAGTTGTAAATCAAAAGCCTACAGGGACTTCGAACATAGCACAGGTAGATGAAGTTATAATTGATTCAGGTGTTAATGAGTAATCAATCCCTGACCCCTGGCCTCGGTTTCAGAAGGCTATACTGGTGCTGAGACGGGGAGTGTGCTTAGACCGCTGTATTCTGTATAAGCAGTAGCTCCTCTCTGCTATAGACAAATTTGCCAGGTAGAAATGTAGACCTTCAAGAAAAATCGAGGCTTCGTGTACAATTTGATCTTTAAAATGTATCAACCTCCCCCCCCCCCACACACACATACACACACACACACACACACACTGACTCTGGACAGGCCAGCTAAGCTGGACCTGGTGACACTTGTGGCTCTGACCAGGGCATCGTGGTACCAGTGAAACTGTCTCCTGCTTCATTAGCCACAGGACACACAATGGTAAGGCAAGCTGGAAGTTGTTGAGCCTGACGGTCTCCTGTGAACCCGACTAATTATGGTCCCTGTACCCATTCAAGAATCTACCAGCTTTCAAACTCAGGACTGAAAGCTGGGGGACATGCTTGCCGTCAGTGCACACTGGCAACTTCTGCTGGCACGTTTGTTTTAGGATCACCAGCAGGTTTTGAGAAATGTATCAGTGGGGTTCCTTAGTGAGGAAACTGGAATTGAGGTTTCCTTATCTCTCCCACGCACGTTGGCTTTCCTTCCCTCTTCTCTGTGTCTGTCTACTTTTCCCTTTATTCTCCTTTTGGTCTGAAAAGCATTTTTCCTTCTGAGGGAACTGAGTGGCACACAGCCAACCTTAGTTCGTTCTTCTTATTCACACACCAAAAATAACTTTTAAAATCCCTTTTCGTTGTCTTGACCATTTTGGGGAAGCCTCAGCTCATGTAGCATTAGTCTTGCTGACATTGTTTTTGTGAATCTTGCTACTCTGTGGTGTTTCTCCTTGGTTATGCATGCTGTTCCTCCTGCCCCTTTACACAGAACTGTGTACAATTGGAGAGCTTGAGGTCTAGAAGCCACACTTGCGTACGATTCTAAAGTATCCTATGATCACATTCCTAGTATCTAAAAGGTATATTTCAGCAGATATTATATGGCCTGTGGGGAACAGGAGACTTTCCTTGTCCTGGGAGTGTTCTGCCGTACCAGCAATGGGTAGCGAAGGCAGAGGAAGGCTTGGGATCCAGACATTACCTTGCATTATTAACTACCACCCTTTGCCGGAGGCAGCTGCTCAGACATACAATAGTGGTGGTGTGTGATAAGTGAAAAATGGAAGAAGCCACAATATGCAAGGTGCCTTGAAGACTCCTGGAGAAAGAGGCATTGCTAGCTCTGCAGACTGGTTGGGGGAAGAAGTGATGCTTTAGGAATAAACCACGGTGACCATGGAGAGGCCAGAAAGCCTGAGGACCACATGCTCAAAGCTCTGAGACATTAGAGAAGCATGTCCCTTGTGGTCAGAACAAGAACAGTAATGAGGTGGTATCTGCAGGCTGAGGCCTCATGGCCACAGGACTGATTTCCCAGGGGCCACCACCACTCTGGAGCCGTGGTGACTGTGTCTGACATTCTCGTGGGGCTGGCATCTTATCTTAGCCATCGTAAAGCATTTTGTGTGCTACTCAAGGAACTAATTTATTTTTTAGCTTATTTTGACAGCATCTTAAAACTACAAAGTTGTAAGAATTATACCTGGAACTCCCATGTTCCCAGAATGCTTACGTTTGGTCTCATTTGCTTCGGCATTTTCTCTCTATGTATATTATATAAACATATAAACATTCTATGACTGCCTGAGATTAAGCCAGAAATATTGTGTTCCTTTACCGCTAACTACTTGTATGTGTTTGTCCTAACAAGGGCATTCATTGTTTTTATTTTATTTTTGGGGGGGAGGTGGTGATTTCCAGATAGGGTTTCTCTGTATAGTTTTGGTGCCTGTCCTGGACTCACTCTGTAGACCAGGCTGGCCTTGAACTCAGAGATGCGCCTGTCTATGCCTCCCCCAGTGCTGGGATTAAAGGCATGCGCCACCACCATCTGGCACATTCACTGTTTTTAAGAAATTTTGTGTGTATAAACATGAGTGTGCCATGGAGGCAAGAAGGGGGGGGGAGTTATGAGATCCCCTGGAGCTGGAGTTATAGGAATTTATGAGCCACACAGTGTGTGCTGGGATTTGAACTCTAGTCTTCTGATAGAGCAGTAAGCGCTCTTAACTGCTGAACCATTTCTTCAGCACCCAAATTAGATTCTTTAGTTCTAATATTACCTTTTGGAGGGGGCAAACCTGAGAATTGAACCTAGGGCCTCCCATCTGCTAGGCATGTGATCTACCACTGAGCTACATGCAGAAGCATTTTCTTATCTAATTATGATGATCCATGTCAAGATTAGGATGGACCAAGCAGTATCTGGTCCGTGTTGATACAGCTTGCCATCAGTAGGGCGATTGCTGCTTTTCCCTAGTTTGAGATCTAACCTATAGACATGGATGTAAGTTGGAGGAGGTTCTTTCTTGATTTCAGGTTTTGAGAGAACACTTCAGGTGTTATGTAGAACACTGCAGTTTTGTCGACCCGGTAATTTCCTCCTAAATAGATTGAGGTTCTACATTTTGGCAGGAGTTGTGAGTTGTGAGTTGTGAGTCTTCTGTGTCCTATCCAGCCCAGGGTGTTGCTGTTGCTGTATTGTAATGATAACTGTAATGGGTAGTTTTGATTGAAGAAATACCTTGGGCATTAAGACACACCCCCCTGGGTCCTTCGAAGGCTTTTCAAAAGAGGATTACCCTGAATATGGAGCACTGTGCCAGACTGTGATCTTGTACGGAGTTAAAAAGGAAAACGGCGGCTAAGTGCCAGCTTTTCCCTCTGTCTGGTCTGCTGACATCACACCCTTACCGCCACAGCTGCGGGGGTTCCCGCCCTCAAACCGCACCTACGGTGACGGATTGTACCCTCCGACTGTGAGCCAAAATCAATCCCCGTCCCCTTGAGTTGCTTCTTCTCAGTTACTTCTCGGTCACAGTGATGACGGTCATCCTTATATCTAGTGTTGGTCATTTGGGGTCCTAACTAAAATTCTCCCTTGTTTCAGTCAGCTTTCCATTGCCGCGGGGGGGGGGGGGAGAACGGAGATAGGAAAAAACTTGTTTGAAAGTTGTTTAACAGTTTCAGAGGCTGCAGTCAGTAGCCACTTGGCTTCCTCGGTGTCTGAGGCAGAGCCAAGGGGGCTCACCTCATGGAGCCAGGAAGCAAAAAAGGGAGCTGGGGTCCCATCAACCCCTTTGACCTTCTTCTCTCAACCAGGCCCTAGCTCAAGTTTCCACAGCTTCCTAGTAGTACTGGCCGCTGGGGACCAAGCTCTTAAGACCTGTGCCTTTAGGGGTGCTGCAGAGCTGGGCCGTTGGACTGTGCGGCACTGCTGTGGCCTTTGAAGAGAGGTTTTTAGTAGCTGTCAGTCCTGCACCTCACCAGGCTCCCAACTACCGCCTGTGACTTGGAATCTGTCGTTCCTTCTGGGGTTTTCCTGGCCTGCACTGGAAAGAAGGATTTTCCAGGGGATTTTGAATCTTGCAAACTTAATGTCGTGTCTCGGTATTTGCCCTTACCTTTCTGGGCTGGGTCACTTAGGCCCTGCGTCAGTCTCGCCTTGCCTTTGTGTGCTTTTGTGGGCATGAGTCTGTAATGGTCGTTCCCGGGTGAGAGGCCCCAATCTTTCCAAGCAGGAGGAGCTGAAATGCCATCTGCACAGCTGGCTCTGTGGAGTGGGGCTAACCTTGGAGTGGGGCTAACCTCAGAGTGGGGCTAACCTCGGCATGGGGCAGGGCCAGTCTCCATATGGGGCGGAGCCAATCTCCAGGTGGGGCTCCAAGGGCCAGTCATCAGTATTCCCCACAGGCCTGGGGCTGCATGCAGGGCTGTGAGCTCGCTCTCCTAACTTAAGATGATTTAGCAGGGAGAGAAAGGAACTGTGGGCTTCCTCCCCAGTAGGAAGCTGTGGCTGATCCTGCCCAGGCTAAGTGGGAATGTTCTAGCTTCCTATTCACAACACACCATTCCACGTTGGAATGTCCCCGCCTCCCTCCCCAGCTGACACAGAGTCCACAGGGCCCAGGATGACATTGGTTATTGGGAGCTTAAGGGCCTTTTTGAGTGTTCCTGGTTTTTGTAATTGATCTGAGCTCTTACAGGGCCCAGTGACACTGAGCACGCCCTCTGTGTGTATGCACACGTGTGTGTATGTGGAAGTTAGAGGACAGCTTTGGGTGTCGTAGCTCAGGAGCCATCCACCCCCACACCCAGCCCTCCCCTCCCACACGGTCTCACTGGCCTAGAGCTTGCCAAGTAGGCCAGGATGGCCAGTCAGCAGCAGACCCTTCTCCAGCTCTTGAGATGACGAGGGTGTGCACTCCTGACTTTTTCTTTCTTTCTTTCTTTCTTTCTTTCTTTCTTTCTTTCTTTCTTTCTTTCTTTCTTTCTTTCTTTCTTTCTTTCTTTCTTTCTTTCTTCCTCTTTCTTCCTCTTTCTTTCCTTTCTTTCAAATGTGGGTTTTGGAGACTTAAGTCAGGTCCTCATGCTTGCCAGGAAAGCTCCTCATCCACGGAGCTGCTGCCCTGCCCCACTTTCTGATCTGTTAAACACCTTTCAATTGTGGCTGGGAAAGCCAGCTAAGTAGTGGAGATGGAGGAAGATGGACTAAGGCTCAACAAGTGCCAGGGAGAGAATTTGCAAGAAGAAAGAGGGGTTTGGAAGTATACTGGGTAGTACGAAGGGAGGTGATACTGTACAGTGTGGTTTATGGTTTTCCTTTTTCTTCCCCTCTGTTCTCTCTCTCCAGACAGGCTCGGAGCTCAGCCCAGTTGATGGACCTGTTCCAGGTCAGATGGACTCAGGGCCAGTGCACCATGGAGAGCCAAGGCAGCTAAGCACCTCAGGGGCGCAGGTCAATGGTGCTAGAGAGCCCGCCGGACCCAGTCTGCTGGGAGCTGCAGGTCCTTGGCGGGTAGACCAGAAGCCCGACTGGGAAGCTGCCTCAGGCTCTGCTCACACTGCTCGCTTGGAAGATGCCCACGATCTGGTGGCCTTTTCGGCGGTGGCCGAAGCTGTGTCCTCTTATGGGGCCCTTAGCACCCGGCTCTATGAAACCTTCAACCGTGAGATGAGTCGTGAGGCTGGGAAAAACAGCAGGGGCGCCCGGCCTGAGAGCTGTTCTGAGGGCAGTGAAGACCTCGACACACTACAGACAGCCCTGGCCCTTGCAAGGCATGGCATGAAACCACCCAACTGCAATTGCGATGGCCCAGAGTGCCCCGACTACCTCGAGTGGCTGGAGGGGAAGATCAAGTCTGTGGCCATGGAGGGAGGGCAGGAGCGACCCAGGCTCCCAGGCACTCTGCCTCCTGGTGAGGCTGGCCTCCCAGCCCCAAGCACCAGACCACTCCTTAGCTCTGAGGTCCCCCAGGTACCTCCCCTGGAGGGCCTGCCTCTGTCTCAGAGCGCCTTGAGCATCGCCAAGGAAAAAAACATCAGCCTGCAGACAGCCATCGCCATCGAGGCCCTCACCCAGCTCTCCTCTGCCCTCCCTCAACCTCATTCCACCTCCCAAGCTTCCTGTCCGCTCCCTGAGGCCTTGTCCCCTCCTGCCCCTTTCAGGTCTCCCCAGTCCTACCTCCGGGCCCCCTCGTGGCCCGTGGTTCCCCCAGAGGAACATCCATCCTTTGCTCCCGATAGCCCAGCCTTCCCTCCAGCAACTCCAAGAACTGAGTTTCCCGAAGCATGGGGTACTGACACCCCTCCGGCAACACCCCGGAACTCCTGGCCTGCACCCCGCCCAAGCCCTGACCCAATGGCTGAACTGGAGCAGCTGTTGGGCAGTGCCAGTGATTACATCCAGTCAGTATTCAAGCGGCCCGAGGCCCTGCCCACCAAGCCCAAGGTCAAGGTGGAGGCCCCCTCCTCCTCCCCTGCCCCAGCGCCATCCCCTCTTTCCCAGCGGGAGGCTCCCTTGCCATCCCCAGAGCCTGACGCCCACCAGAAGGCCCAGACGGCGCTGCAGCAGCACCTTCACCACAAGCGCAGCCTCTTCCTGGAACAGGCCCACGATGCCTCCTTCCCTGCTCCCACGGAGCCTCAGGCCCCTGGCTGGTGGGCCCCGCCAGGCTCACCCGCCCCCCGGCCTCCTGACAAACCACCCAAGGAGAAGAAGAAGAAGCTCCCTACCCCAGCTGGAGGTCCTGTGGGAGCTGAGAAAACGGCTCCTGGGATCAAGCCCAGTGTCCGAAAGCCCATTCAGATCAAGAAGTCCAGGTCCCGGGACATGCAGCCTCTCTTCCTGCCTCTTCGGCAAATTGTTCTGGAAGGGCTAAAATTCCAAGTCTCAGAGGAAGTGCAGGCGCCTCCACCTGCCCAGCTCCCTGCCCCGGCTCCTGCCCCCCAGGGTGCTGCCTCCCAGAGCCCTGCTGCCCCTCTCCCCCCAGAACCCTCTCTTGCGCTATTTGCACCTAGTCCCTCCGGGGACAGCCTGCTGCCCCCTACTCAGGAAATGAGGTCCCCCAGCCCTATGGCAGCCCTACAGCCAGGCTCCACCGGAGGCCCCCTCCCCCCTGCTGATGACAAGCTGGAAGAGCTCATCCGGCAATTTGAAGCTGAATTTGGGGATAGCTTTGGGCTTCCCGGCCCTCCTTCGGTGCCCATTCAAGACCCCGAGAACCAATCATGTTTCCCAGCTCTGGGGAGCCCTTTCGTCGCCCGCTCCCCCAAGAAGATCAAGATTGAGTCTTCAGGGGCTGTGACTGTGCTCTCGACCACCTGCTTCCAGTCAGAGGAGGGAGGCCAGGAGGCCACGCCCACCAAGGCTGAGAACCCACTCACCCCCACCCTCAGTGGCTTCTTGGAATCACCTCTTAAGTACCTGGACACACCCACCAAGAGTCTTCTGGACACACCTGCCAAGAGGGCCCAGGCTGAATTTCCCACCTGCGATTGTGTCGGTAAGTCCGTTGGAGCGTCAGGGAAGGACAAACAGCAGCCCCCGTAGGCTTTGGTTTCTAGGCTCTCACATCTGGCAGATGGCTTACTGAATACTTACCACTGTGCTGTGTCCTGGGAAACAAGCCGACAGGCAAGTGGACAAAAACCCTGAAGGAAGCGGGCCCCTGTCCAAGTGAAGCCCCCAACATGGACCCTGGCTTCGCTTCTTTCCCGTTGCTGCCGTGAAATGCTCAGCTAGAAGCAATTTAAAGGGAAACAGGCTTATCTTGGCTCACAGTTCAAGGGTGCAACCTGTCATGGCAGGGAAGTGACAGAGATTGCAGCCGCAATCGGGAAGCAAAGAATTACGAATGCATGCTGCTGCCCAGCTCCCTTTTTCTGTTAACAGAATGCCAGCCAGGGAATGGTGCCACCCACAGTGGGCTGGCCCTCTGTCTCAGCTACTGTAATCAAGAGTACCACCCCCCATAAGCATACCCAGAGGCCCATCTCCCAGGTCATTCTAGATGCTGTGGTGATGTCAATTCCTGCAAGGAGGTGCCTTTGCAGAGCCCGGCAGGGTCATTGGCTGGAAAGCAGCTGTTTTAGATGTTAGGAGTGCCTTGGGCTTGAAAGTAGGATTTGTTTGGAATCTTTTTGGTTGAGCAAGAGGAAAATAGGATGAAGGAAAGGTGGCTTGAAGTGGTGGACAGGGGTCAGATCAGTCAGGGCCTGGGAGGTGGGGAGCAATCAGGAGTTGGACTTGATCCCAGGGGGAGCAGTAGGTTCTTGGGGTTTGAGAGCAAGTGATGCCTGCCTGCTATCTTAAGCGTTTGAAAAACTTCTGGCTTATGGTGGAAGGAGAGACTATCTAGGAACTGTAAAGAAAATGCCCTGTGCCTGAGAAGGCGGTAGAGGGAGCTGATGAATGGATGGTCCTGGAAGAGGAGGAGGTCTTAGATCTTGGCCATGGTGGTGTTCTCCACTCAGGACAGGTTTGGAGAGGAGTGTGCACTCCAGGTGTGTAGGCCCGAGTCTGGAGTGGCTGTGCAGCAGGAGGTAATGTCTGAGTCAGGGGTTCTAACATGCTAGTGTCCCTGAGCCCCAGGTCAGGGGCTGAAGAACCTGTCAGTTTGTAGGCCTTGCCCTTGGGGGGCCTTAGAACCACTCCTGTGGATGTGACAATCTCAGAGGAGGAGGTCCTTGGTGTGGTGGCAGCCTGCGGTCTGCTCCGGCTCCTGTACCCTGTTGCTTAAGAAAGGTCTGTGAATGGCACACGCATTTCGGGTATTGGCAGATCAAACACACCAGTGCTCATGATGAGCACACTGAGTTCTTGTTCCTGACTTGTTCACGTGTGCAAACAGCAAATGAATGATAGGGTTTGTAAGGTGCTTGTCCTAGTTAGTGAAGAGGGGCAGGACTTCCATCCACTCCAAATACCCCAGGCTCCAGGGTACAAGACCCAGGTACATGTTCGGATTCACGTGGCACAAAGAGTTGGGCCCTGGGTTTCTTAGAGGGGTGAACAAGCCCATCAGCTCTGCCCCTTGTTAGATGTGACTAATAAGGTATGGCTGTGAAGGCCCCCTGATCTCCAGGGTTTGGGGAGAAGCCTGTTCAGATCACGAGAATCCTCTTGTCTTTACGTGTTTGTATGTCTTCCTCACTTGACTGAGTGAGGTACTCTGATATCCTTACCTATTGCGTAGGACTTAATAAATGTGTTAATTGTTAAATCTCATTTTATGGCTATGAGGGTTGGTCAAGGCCGTTTTAGAATCTGAATTCCAGCTCCATCACTGACTAGCTGGGGGTGCTTGGGCCCTTCTGTAACCTTCTGATGCATCCTAGAAGTAAGTAAAGCTGCTGACGGAGGGTGACGTGGAGCAGGAGGCTGCCCAGAGCAACCGTAGTTAGTATTCATGGAACACTGCTCAGCTGCAGGCACCAGGCCAAGCACTCCAGTCACTGTCATTTAATCCACAGTACAGTGACGTGATGTGAGAATTGTAGGTGGCCCCATTTTAACCACGAGGAAGGGAAAGTCAGGTGAAATATTTCTCCAAGCTCATAGAAATGGTGGAATTGGGATTTGAACTTAAGTCCTGGGCTCTTAATCACCATGTCATATTTTGATTTTTAACTTTTTGTTGTTGTTTCTGTGTATGATGCAGGGGAAGTCGGAAAACAATTCTGTGCAGTAGGTTTTCTCCTTTAAGTAGGTTTCGGGGATCAAATTCAGGTCATCGGGGTTGTGCTGCCGACTTTGACCACTGAGCCGGGTCTGAAGGCTCCCTGCCACGCCACATTGTGATCTGGAAAGCAAGCCCTAACTACGACAAACAGCAGCAGGCTGAAGGGGTTTGCCTTCAGTTTCTGGGGGGCCTGAGGCTCCTGTTGGGAAAAGACACCCAGTGTTGCTTTCGAAGTATCTAGAGCCCTGTTTCCAGAATGGTCCTTTTCAGCTGCTCTGGGTAGACTGTGAATTCAGGCTCAGGAGAAGGCTTTCCCACAAAAGTGCTCACTCTGAGATCCATGACAGGTGGGGACCATCTTGTGTTCCAGAACTTTGTCCCTTAACCCTTGATAGGCAGAATTTGCAGGTTCATGTAAGATGTTTGCAGGGATGTAAGGTGAGACCTGGAGAGTCCGTTAGGCGTTCATAACATGTGCTTAAGAGTGCCTGCTGCTCTAAAGCGAGTGGGTTTAGTCACCAGCACCCACGAGACAGAGGTTCAAACCCACCTGTAACTCCAGTTCCAGGGGATCTGACTCCCTCTTCTGGCCTCTGTGGGCACTGGACACGCACACAGTGCACATACATACAGACATCCACACACAGCATTTTTAAAAAGCCAAAAAAGGACATCTCCTGTAACATAGTACAAGAAACTTACATTCATGTTTCTTACTAACTCTTGCCAAATGTGCAGTTCAGGCCAATTCAGGCATCACTGGATAGCCAGAACCAAAATATCAAGAGCATTTACCCATATGTGAGAATTATGGAGCAAGGTATGGTGGCTGTAATTCCAGTACTTGGGAGACTGAAATCAGAGAATTAGGAGTTTGAGGCCAACCTGGGCTACATAAGAAGTTAGAGGCTAGTTGGTTCCATGTAGGGCTGTTGTTAAAAAACAAAACAAAACAAAAAAACCTTGGTGTGTGTGTGTGTGTGTGTGTGTGTGTGTGTGTGTGTGTGTGTTTGGATAGGATACATTTAAGTTTATTCTCTAAATCTTGTGTACTAAAAGGCAGCCATGAAATTTCAAAACAGATTTAGATAATGTAGAAGTCATTGGCTCTCTCTTAAGGTGGTGTGATCCTTAACTACTGTTGTAGTGTTATTGAAATATTCCTAATATTTTGAAGTTTGTATTGGAGAACCATCCTGTGACACTTGGCAGAGGTGGGCAGGGCCCTGGGCTGCAGGGATTCTGGGTGTCCATGCTCAGGAATGGAGAGATGCCCAGAGGAGACAGATGAGGACAGAGAGTGAATCCTAATGACATTTTAGTGGAAAAAGCATCCTTTGAGATCCACTCATTTCATACATGAGGAAGCATCTGTGTTAGCTTTTAATCGTTGTCTTAATGTATCCGAGGAGCAGCCAACAGGAAGCTGTGGGGACTGACTTGCCCAGAGCCCAGGCAGGAGGTTAGGTGTGGGGCCAGGGGAAAATGGGGCAGGTTTCATAGAACTGCTGTGTGGTAAGCCTGTTATCCTGCCTAAAGAAGTGGCTACAAGAGAAACGTCTCCATTGCCTGGAGCCCCGGTGAAAGTCTAGGGGAGGGAAGGATGTTGTCAGCACGTGAGGCTGGTTGCTGTGTCTACCAGGTGACATTAGGGACAGAATAGAGACCAATAAGTTAATGTAGGTTTGTCATCACGTAGTCTATTTCCTGCAGCTCTCATTTTATGAAAATTTGTCCCCTTCCCTTGCATTCAGTTTGATGTGATATTCTTCAAATATTTTAAAACAATTAGAGCATTGGGATGAAAGTGGAGAATCTGGTCCTGAGTTAAAGGGTATCAGAGAGAACTTCCTGGCAGAGGTGGTGTCTGATTGGGTTTTAGAGGATCCTCAGAGTAAACGGGGATTACAGTTTACCCGGGTGCATGCCAAGGAAAGGGCTGTGGGTACTGGGGAACGTGAAAGGGCATGCAAAACCACATGCGATGTGGTGAAGGAAGACGAGAAAGACAAGTTGTGGTGTGACTGGTGTGTTTCCTGGGAGTGGCGGGAGAGGAGTTTCAGGGGAAGCAGGGATGATACTAAAAGCAGAGAAACCAGTTACAAGCTCAAACAAGAAATATTGGATTACCTAGGTTAAGAGTGCCTTTAATCCTAGCACTTGGGAGGCAGAGGCAAGTGGATTTCTGTGAGTTCAAGGCCAGCCTGGTCTACATAGCAGGACAGCCAAGGATCTCTAGAAAAACTTTGTCTCAAAAAAAACAAAAAAAACAAAAAAACAAAAACAACTGCTGAGTAGGAAGGAAAGATGGATAGACCTTCAGCAGCAGCCAGATGGTAGGAGTGGAGGAGGAGGAGGAGGAACAGTTGATGTGACCCCCTGAGGTTCCAGGTTGGGCAAATGGATGTGATAGAGGAGAACTACAGGCCAGCCTTGCAGATGTTGGGGGGGAGGGGCGGGGACCCAAGATTGGATCCATGAATTGGAGATTCTGCAGTTGATGATGGTTGAAATTTCAGTTGTCGTTTCCAGGCTGAATGTGTGGACCAGAAAGAAGCCTGAGAGTAGAGAAGACCCATGTTAGGGGAGGGCTGGCCTTGGAGGTGAAGGCCATGTGTGAAGAAGTGGCGAGGGCCGGTTGGAGCCCCTGGAGAGCGATGAACATCAGTTCTACATCAGTGTTCCCTGACTGGGAACTGTGTTCTCTCCTTTGCAGTCAAAGCCTGCGTTTCTTGATAACAGGACTGCCTCTCGTAGTTCTGAAGCATTGGGGATAGCAGGCACCCTACATACTTTTGGGTTAACTGATCATCCTTATTCCA